AGTATATTGTTGTAGTGACTTTTTTAAAAAATATTATCATGGTGTTTCTCAGCATGGACATGCCCACATCTGGGAAGATGGCAAAATTGCTGCTCAAAATAAAAAAAAAAAAACATGTCTGTTCAACTTTGATGAAAGGTTGAGTTTCCCCATCTGTCAGTGTCACCAGTCCTATGAGTACAATAGATCAGGCTTCGGTCTTGGACATGTTCAGTCAGACAGAATCATAAAGAAGCCAGAGAGAGCAAACTTTATCCATTCTATCTTATGTTCTGAGCTCACACCTGAGAAGGCTGGGATTAGAGCATCTGGAGAGCATGGCAGTGGTGGAGCTGCCTGTGCTGATCTGAGAGGTGCAGCCAGGATTCTAGCAGACGCATTTTATGTGGGCTCATAAAGAGCACGTCTATTCCCTGTCCTGTAAGGGAATCTGAGGATGGTCTCTCTGATCCAGGCTGTAGTTTGTAAGTGACTTACTCAATGTCATCTGAATACCTGACGGCAAACCTGAAACTGCTTTGACTTTTAGTGTTTATTTCATAATTTTTTATGTCTGATGTGTATGTATGTCCGGCTGTCCATGGAAGGCAGAGGTCAATGTTGGGTGTCTTCCTCAATACCTTGCTACCTGAATTTTTAAAATAGGGTTTCTCATGGAACCTGGAGCCAACAAGCCTCAGGGATTCTCCTGCCTTTGTCTCCCCAGGGCCAGGATTGTAGGCACATGAGTTTACACCTAGCTTTTGTGTGTGCTGAGGATCTGAAGTCGTTCTTACACTAACATGGCAAGTACTTTGTCAGCTGAGCAGTCTCTGAAGCATTGGCCTGGCAGACTGTTACCCCAGCCCTGGGTCTCCCCATGGTGCCTTCTGCTCTGTTGGGGCTCTATCTGTGTGTATTTGTATTTTTTTAATTTGGGTTGTCTCTGTTGCCTGGGCCATTGCATGCCAAACTACTTGTTGTTGATCACTGTGTCTTCTGTGGGATGACTTGTCTTTGTGAAGTGGGGAAAGCCCATCCTGAGAGGTGTGTTTGGTCAATGGAAAAATGTGTTAGGATTGCCTACTCTACATTAGTGAATCTATGAATCGTTACACTCAGAAAGTTCATAACCTTACGTGTTCGAGTCCCTCTCTCCTAGTCGTCACAGATAAGTTATACTATCATGCATCTCTCTTGTTCTTGCAGCTTGTTTCCACCTGTAACTAATTTAGACAAGAATTATTAGCTGGACCAGGAATCAACAGGCAAGGCAACCATGTCCTCACTGAGAACCACTGATGTCCTATCTCCTCATTTCACAGAACTTGACTGGACACTCACAGATGCTTAGGACTTGCATAAAGTCATAGTCAGTCACCTACTAAAGAGGACAGGCCAGGACTCTGGTTCTGGATGGGAGTAAATGCTGCTGATTTCCCTGGGGCATTGTTCATGCCTCGCTAACATCTTGGAGGCCATCAAACTGAGTGGAGCCAGCCCAGAAGGGTTCCCTGGAAGGAGGTGTCTAGCACAAAGACTACATGTAAATATAGCTATGGTGCTCCAGACGGTCTGCTGGGAAGAGCTGGGAAGCGGCTCTCTTTAGGAGGAAGAGCTGTCTGGAGTTACCCTGCTGTATCTTAACTGATTTGGGAGAAAGATTGTTGTTGATCTCAACTAAAGCAAACGGAAGAACTTAGTTTCTTCAGAAAACTAATTACAACTTAGACTGTGGTTTCATTAGTATCTCTTTATGTACTCCAAGCCCCGCCCCCACAGTGTTTGCGTTTCTAGTTGTCATGTGATTTGAAACAGTTCATTTTCTATACATTAGTGGTTTGTTAAATTTTGTGTGTACTGTGTATGTCTGGTGCCTGCAGAGGCCAGAGGAGGGTATGAAATTCTCTAGCCTGGAGCTGCGGATGGTTGTGAGTCACCAGATAGGTGCTGTGAACTGAATGTAGGTCCTTTGCAAGGCAGCAAACACTCTTAAGGCTGTTTATCTGGCTCCTAACGCTGTGTGCATTAAAGGAAGAGCAGATGATTAAACAGCATAATTGTGTACCTCTATCCATCAACGTGAGAAACTGAAGCGAAGGAAATAAGTGTGGCACACTTCAGTGGAAGGATTAGGAAGAAGATGTTTTTTTAATGTGCGTCTATGCGTTCTGGATCAGGGACACAAAGTTCATCCTGTTTTTTTCATTTCCCAGAACGACAAAAGAGTCACCCCGTGGAGTGGGGGTCATGCTTTGGAAATCAGCTCTGCCCTGAAATGCACGATTTACAGTCACTTATTCGGTGTGGAAGGAATGCAGTTAAGAGTATGGTCGCAAGCTTCTTGCAGTGCTTAGTGTCCCAGCGTGCTTTCTTTTCTGAAACACAGTTTTGAAAAAGATGATAATTTTAGAAGCTGGGCACACAATGCCGATCCTGTTCCCAGCTCTGGCTCCCAGGACCGACAGGCAGGGAACTCCACTGACCCATATTTAAAATGTTGTCTCTCAGGATTCAAATGAATTCAGATTCTTATAAGGAAAGATCAGGTGGATCCTGGGAAGGCTGTGTCCTGAAGGCCTCAGTAACAGTCTTTGAATGCTGGTGGCATCTCTACCTGGTCACTGGTCTTTGGCAGCTACTAGTCTGTGGACCCGATCTCCCTTACTAAAGACCCGCACAAGGGACGGACTGTCTTAGTTCTTTTCCTGTTCCTGGCATAAAACACCCCGAGAAGAGAAATTTAAGGGAGAATGGCTTATTTTGGTTTATAGGTCTGAGGTACATAATCAATCATGGTGGAGGAGTCATGGCAACAGGCAAGAGAAGCTGGTCACATTTCATCCACACTAAGAAAGCAGAGAGAATAGGAAATGGGGCTGGGCCATAAAACCTCAGGTCCCACACACAGTGATCCATTTCCTCTAGTGAGGCCCTATTTCCTATCCATAGCCTTCTGAAACAGAGTTGACAGCTGGGACCAAGTATTTAGGCATGTCAGCCAGCGGGGCGGGGGGGGGGGGGTCACATCACAATCACAGCCAGGGTCTTCACAGGCAGTGTCAAGCAATGGAAACAGGGAAGCTTGCTTTTCTCCAGCATTTTGGCTTTGAAAATTAAAATTTCAAAACCTCCTTTACCATAAATTAACCATACCGGTTTCTTAACCCCCTTCCACTACCCCTAATGCATGTGTCCTTCGTGTTGATAAGACTACTGAATGGTTTCCTAAGCAACGCAGCGGTGAGGTTGAGGACACGTCGCTGCATCTGGTTGAACACACCCCTTCTCTTTAACACATCTACTGTTCATCTTCTGGAAATGTTCACTGCGCTGTTTTCTTTTTTCTGCCCTGGTCATGTACTTGGTTTTGCTGGTGATTCTGCATTCTTGTATTGGACTTTCCTCTACCAGCTTGGGAGGATTCCTCTTTGGAGGAACTAGAAGCTTGGGATTACAAAGGAGATTATTCACTTTCCAGAGCCCAGGAGCAGAGTTTTAATGAGTTCTCTTCCCAGAAACCGAGGAAGGAGCTGGACTGTCCTCTGATTCCAACCTGCCTAGTAGCAGGGTCTCAGAGCAGGCTGAATGTGGAAATGACTGAAGGTTTCTGTTCTAGCTGCTGGCAGGAGCGAGGAATGACTGAGTTTATTAATGATCTTGCAGGGCTCCGAGCTGACAGTCTATTTGTTTTCATTATGTAAACCAGCGTGGTTTGGGATTATGCAGATTTCCACCTTTTTACTTAGAAGGCAAAGAATATTCATTAAGGATATCAATAAAGACCAAGGCGGTGATTGAGTCTCCAAAGCTGTCCCCTGCAAGCTGAAAGACAGAAAACTTAAGGGGCTGAGAGAATGAGAGATTGATTGGAAGGCAAATTATAAACCCATTTCAGCTCTTGGCCTGCGGGCTGGGAAGTAACATTATTTGTTGTCAGGGATGGAAAATAACTCAGATTCAGGTCCAAGCGATTATTCCACGTTGACACGGCTGCCTGTCTGCCAACTGCAGCTCCATTTAGACAAAGATTAATTAGCCTGGCAGAGGGGGGCGCGGGCTCTGAGAGCGGGCCTGAAGCGGGATGCTCTGCCCTAGTCTCCACTTTGGAGGTCTGCAGATCTGCCCCCCATGAAGCTGACAACCTACTTTCATTGCTAAACCCACAGCGAACCCGGGTGAGAGACTGGATAGAAAACACTGTGCATGTCTACCGGCTTTCTTAACTCCAACAAGTCAGAGAAAAACCTTCAAACTTCGTTGCTGCCAGGCTGTCCCCATGGAGACAGGGGGGACCAGCTAGCAACCTGTAGACTTGAGTGGCTTATCAATCTTTCCTTTGGCCTTGAATAAACCATGTTGGACTTTTATTATTTCTCCATGGGACATAGAAATGGTAGTGTATACACTCACATGGATATAGTATGCCCATTACTTGAATTATAGGACATTATAGGGATAAAAATAAGGAAAATTCTTGGGGGAAGTGAGCCCCAAGTTAGATCACTGGAAACAGTATATTACAGGCTCGACAAGAGGGCTTTTGAGCCTTACTAGAATCTTCCTTACAAGGAGTCTTTAACCTATTCATCTTTCATCTTTTTCTTGTATCTTAGCTGACTTCTGTTTGTTTCCTCAAGGCATGGGACAGTGTGGGGTCCATTGTAACTCACCCCACCACGAACTTACCGAGGGCAAGATGGCAGTGGAGAGCGGGGGAGGGGGGGGGCTGAGGTTCCTGCCCTCGGGTGGGGGTGAGGAGCTTGGATTATCAACAACACCCTGTCCATTCTCTCCAGCGTTCTGGGCTCCGTGGCAGAGTTCCATCCCGCCAGCGTAGTAACCCCTGTGGACTCTGCGGCAGCCTGGGTTGCTGCTGTTGGGAGCTGTGGTGGGCAGTGGCAGTACGACTCCGAAAGGAAACCCTTGTAGCGTGTGGATTCTCCCCTCCTCATGAAAACTTAGATGAGGATTTTTCTTTTTCACTGTTAACACTTCATTGCACGGATTTCTCCCCCCAGTGGTGGCGCTGAGCGGTACGCGGTGCTAGCAGAAGGGGGCGGTACTTTCTCTCTGGACCCTGACTGGAAGCCCAGTGCGACTCCAGGGCAGTCACCAACAGAAGCAGATGTGCGAGCCCAGCAGCTTGTGTGTCTCTCTTTCTGCCGAGGTTAGTTTGTTTGGGGTTGTTCTTTTCCACGTGGGAGTGCGGTGTTTGGCCTTCCTCTTTCCTCCGCGGGGCTTTCGCGCGTTTAAATGTTGATGGTTTCATTTTAAAAACAAACATTTTTCATTTACTTATTAAAAGAATAAGGGGGGATACTCTACCGCTTTTAGGGTGGGATAATATGTCCAGATGGATTGTGAATTGAATACTAAATCACAGGCATTTGGCCGTTATTAAATCTCACCTATATATAAAGCATGGAAATTTACAGGGGTTACCTCCTGTTTCTTTTCTTCTTACCATTTCAGACTCTTTTCCATTACAAGGAGAGAAGCCAGGATCGTTTTTAACCACTGAAGGACTTATGTAGCCCTCATCCGTGCAGGTAAGTGGTGTGTTTAACACAGGTGACTTAGAAAACATACCTTATGTGGTCTGCACCATTGGGACCTCCCAGCTCTGTACAGCCTGTGTTCAATTCATTTAACTTTTAATGGTTACATTAATGAAGAATTATTTCAAGGTCTCAATATTTTTTAAGTAGCTCAATTACTTTGCTTCGCATCTTCTCATCCATTGGCTATAATCTCTGCTTCACTGCCAAAACTCTTTTGCTGTTTCTGTCTTCCTAGAGTGTCAATCAACAGCAGAGCTAGAAGAAACTTTGTATTTCTTTATATATAAAAAATACTATCCACTTCATCAGGAACACAGTTGAGACAGGATATTAACCTTTCTGAAATATTCGTCCTGCTACCAAATGGGTACAGTGATAATTGTTAAAGGAAAATGGTTTGGCAAGATGAATGCCCCCTTGTCACGTCCCTGAGGGTGTCCAGTGGAACTATCTGAGAATGGCTTCTTTATGAATACATACTGCAAAATCTCCCATAGCCCGTTTTGCTCTTCTAACCAATAATTTTTGGTTTCTTTGCTATAAGGCATTTAATTACAACTGGCAAGAGTAATGTTTTATAAAATATAATTTCAGAACTTCAGAAGCTAAGGCAGGAGAACTAGGAGTTCAGGGTCATCCTTAACTGCCTCACAAGGTCCAGGTTAGCCTGGGCTACAGGAGGTCCTCCTCAGTCTAAACAAGAGCCTCTGAGACAACACTGGTGTTGCGGAGTGAGTGGGCAGCTGTGCACCTGGATCATTTCTTTTGGTTCTCTAGAACTGCAGACGAAAGGTAGATAGCATTGAAGGCCGCTGAGCTGTGCCAGAAGACACCTTCAGCCTAGAAAAGTGCTATTTCCCTTAACACGCTTTAATAGAGCTTTTGTTAGTGATTTTCTATTATTGAGAAGGGGGGGGGCAGGTTTCTAGCACTGTTATCCTGATTAAGATAAAAGAGTAGGGGTTAAGGTGCCTTCCTTGGTTTTGCATTAATGAACTGCCTTGTATGAAGATGATAGAAAATATGGGGTTTTTTAAAGGGATCATATCTGAGTTGTTTATAGTAGAAAACATATACACAACCTCAGCCAGAAGGGAGTCATATGAACACAATAAATGAAATTACTTTTTCACGAACTCTTCTCCGAGTAGCAAGTCAAGGGGCTGTGGAGACTGATGGGGCCAAGCTCAGGGCACAGAGAATGGCTCCCATCTTGAGTTTTAGGTTGCTTAACGTTTTCAAGAATGGCTTGGATGGCGTAAAAGAGAATACTGTCATTTAAAAATCACCTGTGCCATAACTGTTAAAGCCTTGAGATGATGGCAAAAAGGATCCAAGGTGAAAAATTAGCAGGAGAAGCAATCAAAAGCTGATCAAAGTCTATGTGGGGAAGATGCCGAGCTAGGGCCTGGGTGGTGGAGGGTGGGCTGTAGGACCTACATCGGATATGAATAGCAGTTATAATTCTGTTGCAATCTAGTACAGCACCAGGGAAATAGTGCCCAGGAGCCCGGAAGCCTGCTAGGTGAGTGCTAGCTTGGGAGAGTTGCCAGCTGCTCTGTACGTCACGGTCCTGACTCCGGCTTGAACATCTGCAGCAGTGACAGGCAGGTGCTTCACATAGCATAGGACCAGACAACATGGAATCCCATGTGCAAAGGGTTAATTCTTGTTCCAGACATTTAATAGCAGTAGGCCATTCATGTTTTACAGCAGAAATATCCTTGTGTCCTGTATTGTTTTTCTTGTTGTGGTGATGGAATAACTGAACATCTTCAGAGAGGAAGGACTGGTGCTGGCACATCTGTCGTGGTGGCACAGGAACGGTGGCGGAAGCTGCTATGGCTGTGTGGAAGGAGTTTGAAGTAGATGGCTCCATCATTGGGGCAGTCAGGAAGTGTGGGGTGCAGGAACTTGAGGGATTTCTAATTCATAAACCCTACCCCTAGAGATCTAAATCAAGATTTTGTAGCCAAAAGATCCCACAGCCTCCCCAAAATGACAATGTCCCCATAGGAAGAATATGTGCAGGAAACAGCTTAAAACAGTCACAGAGAGTAGGGAGGAATGGACAAGAGCAGGGGTCAGGAAGTGGGACCTTACTAGAAGGGACCTAGTAGCCAAACACACGAGCTGATGGGGCCCCTGCACAGTCAAACCATAATTAAGTCCTACATGTCTCCATCCTGGAGCCCTCCTCAAGGTGGTCCCTTCTCAGTGAATTAACCCTTGCCACAGTTTTATCCTCACTTGGTTCTGCAGTTTACTGATGGATTTACTGCATTTGCATTTCCATACCCATAATTCCGGTCTTGTTAAGGAAGAGCTTTGCTCTTCTCCCCCAGTGTAGCCCCTATCCCTGCTTACACCTTCATGCCCTTGGTCACACTGCTCTCGTCTTCCCACCTTCTGACCTCCTCTTGTCTGTTCCTCCCCTACTCAGTATGACTGTTTGGAGCTGTTGACCTCCATGCCAGTCATCCTGCCAGGTTGCTGTCATCTTGGAACCCCTCAGGGAGCTCTCACCCGTGCTTTAAAGCTCCCTTCGATGGCAGCCCACACAGCACAGCATCCAGCTGACTTTGCTTAGCTCTGACAGCCAGGCCATAACTGCAGTGAAGGGGTGAATGGGTGGATGGACAAGTTAATGAAGGGAGAGCTCATTCCTGAACAGTCTCCTCTCATTGTATTCCCCTGACACCTTTGCTCTGTCTTTTCCTGGGGAGACATTAATAAGCATCTGTTCACCCCAGGTAAAGCAACAATGACAGAACACAGAACTGATTCCACCAAAGTCTTGCTTGGTGAACCAGTGAGTTTCCTGGGGTCACTTACAGGAATAAGGATGAGTGGACACATACAGGACCATGGGTGACTCACATGGAGCTTCATCACCATCCCAGGAAGAGTGATGACTCACAGAAGTTACATCCTGGGGGTTTCCCCGCACAAGTGACAGTCTCCATGGAAGAGTCTCTTCTCCCTTAGCAATTGCTTACGGGTTTGTTTTTATAACCTTATCGTGGGGCCCTTGTGAATTTTAACATTTCCGTGTTTCCCAAGACTGGTAAGTTTTCCGAGTCTCTCTCCTCCCTCCAGGAGGGAATGTTTTAGTACAGAGGGAGTATCTATGCTATGTCACATCCTTTGACATTCTGTTCATGGGCACACCCTCTCACTGCATACAGAGACCTGTTCTGAGCTCATCCTGTCCTGCCTCGTTTCAGTGGGTCAACTCTTCCAGTGGCTTCTTGAGAACAGTGATTTTGTTTGTAGATATCCAACCTTGTAAGTCTTTGCTATTCTTCTACAAGTAAAAAAAAATAAAACAACAACCCACAACTACCAAGCAGCATAAAGTAGAAAGCAAAAAGGGTGTTAGGATTAGCGTGACTACATACTTCATGATGACGTTGTTGCTAACAACAAAGGTGGTGCTGGGAAGATGGCTCTGTGGGTGAAGGGCTTGTGGAATGGTCTCCCAGTGTGGATCCTCTGCACCCACGTGCAAGCCAGGTGTGAAACTCTCACCCCAGAACTTCCTGGTTAGAGAGTCTAGCTAAAAGAGCGAGTTCTAGGTTTAATGAAGTACCCTATCTCGAAAACTAAGGGAGGGAACAGTAGAGGAAGACTTTCAGAGTTTAGCAGCGTGGGTTTGTGGAGATCGTACTTCACTCTCATCTTCAGGGGTTGCTCTGATGTTTCCTATCCATGGGACTTCCCCCTCCCTCTTTATCTTCTCACTGTCTGGTCTCCCTTGGGACTCAGCTGATAAGGAGTGATGGAGGTTGTGGCATGAACCTTTCCTTTTGAAAATCCCATTTGGGTAGGGCTGTTACATCTCTCATATTTTTGTTATTGATATTCATCTACTCATTATATAGCAGAGTTTGGGCACCATGGACCTCAGAAGAGACATGGTCTCTGTTTCCAGGATCTAGTGGATATCAGTTGAGATCTGTCTGAGGATGATTTATGGTTTTGAAAATTCTCTTCAGAGCCTGGCACTGTCAGCATTTTTGTTTGCTCGGTTTGGTACTATACCCACCTGGCCTCTTCCCTTCTTCTTCTTCCTCCTCTTCTTCCTCTTCTTCTTCTTCTTCTTCTTCTTCTTCTTCTTCTTCTCCTCCTCCTCCTCCTCCTCCTCCTCCTCCTCCTCCTCCTCCTCCTCCTCCTCTTCCTCCTCCTCCTCCTTCTTCTTTCCCTTTGTGGGAGCCTAGATATTAGAATAAGGCAACCTAACCCCAGTTCCAGAGCTTCCGAGTTAAACATGTCTAAAGGGAAGTAAAACAAGTGGAGACAACCCAAGATCTATTTTCAGATGAATAATGTATGGTCTGCTCTCACAGTGGGGAATTATTAAAAGGAGTAGACACATGCTAAACTATGGATGAACCTTGCAGACATTATGCTAAGTGCAACAAGCCAGTAAGAAGGCAACAGATTCTCTATGATGCTGCCCAGCTATAAGGAACCTAGAATAGCCATATTGACAGAGAGCGGGATGCAATTGCCAGAGGCAGGCGAGAATGGGAAGTTGCTTAGTTGAATGGGTCAGGAGATTGGTTATAGTGAATATGGTTGGTACCTCAAACTGTTGATGTGGTTTACACCCTTCAACTTATAGATGGCTAAAACGGTCAATTTTATGCTGTAGATAGTTTGTCACAATTAATAAAAAAAAACCCATGGAACTTGCTTCCACAGTGATACCCTTTACAGAAAAACAAAGTGAAAGGGGTTTCTCTGACAGGGCTCTTCTCTTTCTTGTAGCTTTAGTTCTTTAGGCAAATAAATCTATCTTTAAATTTAAATATACTACATATTTTTCATACACATAGCTCCCTTGGTAAGGTATTTGAATTTTATTTTAGACCCTGTTCTTTTTTTTTATTTATTATTGGTTATTTGGCTTTCGCAGGTAAGATGTGACTGTGAGGCCTTCTCTCCCCTCTTCTTTTCCATCAAAGATAACAGGGTCATAAAGC